CCAATAAAATGATTTTTAAAAAAGACGAGCAGCCTTTTCTTCAGTAGCCTTTACTATTGGTTTCCCTGACCCAACAAGTCTATGAAAGCCCCACTTTTGCTGAGAGCGGGGGCGGGGGGGTGGGGCGGGGATCCCAAACTTTCCAACTTCTTAAAAGTTGCTTTTCTCTAGCTGTAGTGTTCCCTCCGTTGCTTTCAGAGCTCCTAGAGGCCCTGAGTCCCAGGGTCTGGTGGTTTCCTGGGTGGATGTGCGGGGCAAGGAGCAGAGTGGGGAACAGCTCATGCTACCATCTGCCAGGAGTCTCTGGTAATGTGGTTTGCATTTCAAATCCTTCCCCAGCTTGTTGTTCCTTTTGGGACTGCAACATCACTCCTTCATCTCCCCAATGCTAAGAGTCAGTATGGGAATCGTTATTTTCAGAGTGAGAATTTGAAGCAATGAACATTTATATTTACATGACAAAGTCGTAAGCAAAACCAAGATGTGTTTAACAGCAACTACCAAAAGAATAAATATCAAAACTGTCAATTCCTGTCAAGTCTCCAAAGGATGGTAAGTTTTTTTTGTATCAACACTTTCAGTACAATGCTTCTTCTACTACCAACATTAAGGGTCTCTTACCTGAAACTCCCATAGACTATAAGTAGGATGGAAATCAGAAATGTAGACACTTGACTGGAATCTACCAGGGAATAGGCCCTAGAAGAAACAAGAGGGGGAAAAAAACATCAAACCACAATGTCTTTTAAGAGAAAAGAAAGGTATAAATTAGCATTCACAAAAGAACAATTAAAATGAAATATGCCACTTTACAATGAAGAATAAAATTCATCACTACTACCAGTTAATGGTCACAGGATGTTAACTGGCATCAATAAAAAAATCCCATTTCTGTATGATATACAACATGTTTATAACATCCACTCTCAATTTTAAAAGCATCGAAACATCTACCAACTCTGTGCCAAAGACAAAAAGGCTCCGTGATTACACGTTCATCATCTGCACTTGAATTGCCAATAGGAGTTTACTCTTCTGCACCGAGATGAAACCTGCAGCTCTTTCCTGAACCATTTCTTAATAAGTACACATTATCTGTCTCAATGTCCTGTAGGGCTTCTTCTGAGTCAACAGGCCCCAAACAAACCTCATTTTTCATGCCCGATTCAATCACCCCAACTTGACCATCACCCCTGTCGCCAAAGTTAGACTGTGCATTCTTGATACTCGCCTCTTTTCCCAGTCCCCAAGCACCTGTCTTCTTGTGTTTCTACCGCTAACTTCTTAGCTCCTTTCTCTGGCTTGGCTATCGGGATTATTTTTTCTTTCTTTTTTTTAATGTTGTCATCATAATTTTTTTACATTATTATTGACAATAGTTCATATTTTATTCATATATTCTTTAAAAAAACACTTTTATTGGGGGCTCTTACATCTCTTATCAAGGCTGTTTACCCTCCACACTACCCAGAGGGGTTTTCCTAAAACAAATTTCTCTTCATTCTTTCACCCAGAAAGTATTTGATGAGGCCCAGGTGCCAGATGGACTCAATGATGAATGTGACAGCTGCTCACTGTGACGAAGAAGGCTTGTCTACTCAGAGGGGCCTCAGAAAACATGATTGAGGACCCATTTCAGGAAACCCAGCCCTGAAAGCTCCTCCAAACAGCACAGTTCTAGTCTAACGCACACGAGGCCCCCAGGATTGGGAATCAAGCCTCCTGGAACTGGTTGGTTATATGCCAGCTACTCTCCTAGCAAATGAGGCCTAAGTGCAAACAGCTGGCTCGGTCCCTGCCTGAAAGTCTTTCTTACAGGAATGTGAACCAAAATCCAACATACGTAACTGAAGAGAACTGTGGAAAGCATTATGAAGAGGGGTGGGGGCAAGTGCAGGACACAATGAAAACATGTACTGGTGGACTCCAAGAATGATAGGAGTAGGCTTTCTTGAAGGAGGCAGGCGTATGGGAGAGAGAGAGAAGACACAGTAGACTACGAGTTGGGCTGCTCTGCAGGAGAAAGATAAGGCGATCTGCTTCTGGAGAGATTACAGCCTTGGAAACCCAGAGGGGCAGGGAGCTCCCCTCTGTCCTACAGGGTCACTATGAGACGCAATCGGCTTAAAAGCAGTAGTAGGTTGCTTTATTTGGGCTTTAGTGACTCTTTATGGGTACTTGAAGGAGATGTTAAGGATAATCCTTAGGTTTCCAAAGGTGACCCTGTGGGTTAAGGTGGGTAGATGGCTGTACCATTTACAAAAAATGGACATCTGAATTAAATCCACAAACTGAAGTCACTTCCAACTCACAACAACCTTATAGGACAGGGCAGAGTTCCTAAGAGCTGTCATCTTTGAACGGCCTTACCTTTCTTGCATGGAGCAGGAGCTGGTAAATTCAAACCACCAACCTTGTGCTTAGCAGCCCAACATTTAACTCACTGAGCCACCCAAAAAACCGATGGCTATCAAGTCAGTTCCAGCTCATGATGACGCTATGGGAGAGGGCAGAGCTGCCCCTTAGGGTTTTCAAGATCGTCATCCGGGCAAAAGCAGATAGCCTCATCTTCTGTGATCACAGAGGAGCCTGGGTTGACAGTTTACAGAGCAAATTCATGTTTCATGCAAAATTTATACACATTTTTCTTTCGTGGCCTGAATGCCACGAAATCCCCACAATGAAACAGCACTCTCCCCACCTGGAGAAGCTGATGTTCGGTGCTGGATATATGGAGAAGGCTGCAGGGTTGAGAGCTATGAAATAGCTTGGAGCTGAAGAAATACAGTACACTCTCTGAAAGTGGGTACCTGGGTAAGGTGGAAACCTTATCCAGGAAGAAAAATCTACACATTTTCCTCTAAAAGTGGGAGACAGAAAAGTGGTCAGATTGCACCCTGCCTGGAAAAACAAGGCCATCCCAATGCATTCCGCTGGTAGGTTTGAATTGCGTCTTGCTATTAGCAGCCTAACGCTTAACCCACAGGGTCACCAGGCAAGTTCACTACATTTGATCTACTTTAGTGTATGTTTTAAAGCATCCACAATAAAAAAAAGGTTCTTTGTTTTGTTTGAAAGCAGTACCCCTGCCCTCCTCCTAACGAAGTCTTAGACATGGTCTATTTGAATATCATTGACATCATGTGATAAATACACCTGGTCTTGAGTTCTGTTCCACCGCCCTTCAGGGCAGCGTCCCTCTTGTGACCTGTCAGTGGAGCAGAATGGAGCAGTGCAAGGCAGGCTTTCGGGCGCCTACTCCAGCTTCCCTAGAGGCCGTCCCACGGACAGGGCTTACCCTCCAAGGGATACCTGAGACTACAAATGCCACACATCAGGAAAAACAATTGAGCCAAATCTCTTCATGCTCTAAATTATGTTTCTTGCTCTGAAAGACTCTTTACACATCTCTGACAATTCTGAAATAAAATGAAATCAATACACAGAAGAAGTGCATTAAAAAGACAATTTACCTTTTTTGGAACCGCCCTATATTCATATGGCACAGAAATCAAGACCATTTAAAAAGATATATCCTAAGAAGTCTTGATTCCATCCCAAGCCCTACACTGATTAAAAAATGTTTAAAAAACCCTCACTGCCAACCAGTGGGGTCTGACTTATAGCTATCCTATAGGGCAGAGTCGCACGGCCCCTTTAGGTTTTCAAGGCCATACTTAACCATTATGCCACCAAGGCTCCTAGGTGCCTTGGTAGTAACTACTTTGAAACTGGGGAACAACAACAACACTGTCTGAAGGAGTAAGATCAGGGTTGTGGGGGAGATAGGGTAAGTCTTTGCAATGAAGTTCTTCTCATGGGATGGTCCTTGCTACTTTCAGGGAAAGAGCCGGTGCATTGTGATGGGCAACATATTTCCTCCGAGCAACTTTTCGGGTCTTTTCTCACCAACAGAGTTTTCAATTTTCTTAAAACTTCTTCCTAACACACCTTCAGTGCTCATTCATCCCATGTCCTTCGAGTAATTCTACCCAGATTAGTCCTTCAAAGTTTTTAAAAGCAGATACCCTATCCCTTCTGAGTTGAGCTCTCTGCCTTGAACTGCACTGGCCCAGCAGACCCCCTGGGAAGTCACTATTGTATGAGACCTTTACTGCGGAGGAGCCCGATGACAGGTGTGTCACTTGTCTGCAGCCACGCACTCAGTGCACAGACAAACTACAACAAGTTCTGTTTGGGATTGTGGACGAGACAGAGCCCTGTGATCACCTTTTTAAGCTCCCTCCTACACTCTCAGCCAGCTGAACAAAAGGTGCGGGACAGGAGTGACTGTGTTTACCTCCTCCCTCCTCTGACAGAGTAGGGAGATCTGCCAACACACCACTGTGTGGAACACATCCTCTACTGCAAAAATGTCCTCGTGTTTGGGGGAAAACCAGAAATGCTACATGCAGAATGTACAAGCCATTGGAAAAACTTTAAAGGTTTACTGACCTAATATAAAAATTGACAATAGCTCTTCCCTAGAAGATCTGACAACACTGGCTCTATAATACTGTTTAGAAGCCACCACTGGAACAGCGACGAAACTGCTCCTCGGCTTAGAAATGTCCCCTAACGCGCCAGTCACCACCCTCCGAGAACTCCCCCACTTTAGTTACCTGCCTGGCATCAGTAGCCACTAGAATCTGACCACTTGCTTTATCATGTGCTTGTATATGAACTGTCATTTTCTGATGCTAGTAAATATTTGACTTTATTCAGTGCAGCCTAGACCCCTTCCCCCAAACACGCCACCATTCGCTTTTGGATCCCACCGCCCCTCGGCACCTTCTGCTTCATTTGAGCCCATGGATAAGACCCCAAACCCCTGGAGCTGTGGCACTTCAATTGCTGCCTGACACATACTGCTCGCTCTTCATTTTTAGACTGCTCATAAAGTAAGACGTTAAATGTTGGTCTAATTTAATACAACCAGTTACAACTGAATTCACCTTTTAAGTGCTCTTAATTTTTTGTTACAAAGCAATAAATTGCTAACTTTGAGGGACATAGACACAAGTTTTATGAAAATTAGCAAACTCTTAAGAACTGAAAAATATTTCATGGTCACAGATTATGTATTATCTGGATAACCTCACACTTTCAGAAAGCACTCTTTTTTCAAAGAGAAAATTTCTAGGTTCAATGAATGCAGCTTTTCACTCCCAAAACACTACCCAGCCATTTTCATTTTCTGTGTCATAAATGATCACTGATCCCTCCTGATGTTTCACACTGTCCTCATCAGATCTTCCTTTCTGAGTTTCCATAGAAACAAGTAGCTACCCTGTTCGTGCCTCTCTTTTCAATCATTTACATGTGATGATGAAAGAACACTCCTGACAACCTCTCAACAAAGTCAAGCCAAGGACTGCACAGGGGAAGGTAAAGCCCGTCTGACACAGAATGTTCAAATTCTGCTGTAAAGAAAGGTATTTGGGCAGATATACTCCAACAACTCCTATCTAGCCTAGAGGAATCGCAAAAACATGGGTATTGTAGATAACATGTTTACAATGCATATAGAAATTATTTTGGGAAAAGAACATCTGCTTAGCAAATGGGAACATGTTAGCGCCAACATTTTGTTATCCTAGTCTTTTCCCACAAGGAGTGGCTGGTGGCTTTGAACTGATGACCTTGGGGTTAGCAACCCAACATATAACCACTACACCACGAGGGCTCTTACATCATTTTGTTATCTTAAAACAACTTCACAATGATTTCTTTCTGCCCGTTTTCCAGGAAACTGCAATTTATATTCTCGTAAGTTAGGAATTTCTTAGAGTAGACACATTCTTTTTAAGGACTCTCTTCAGTTGATTTTATTAGGGGTGGGCTGTGTCAAATTCCAGTAGAAATATGTACTTTACTATTAAGTCTTAGAAGTGTTAACTTGGGCAGAAGGGAAGGCAATCTATGGTGGGTGTTAAGAGGGAGGGAAGCAAAAGACAGAGACAGAGAAAACACTGGGAGGAGTGTGAAGTTAAAGGTAACCCAAGTTAATACTATTATAGACATACTTCTTCACTAACAGTGACCCACAAGTAGATGCAGGGATAGCAGTGAGGCTGAACAGTGTGGGAGGGAGAGTGAAAGAAACTCTGCAAATATCTGTAGATTTGACAGAGGATAGTTCCACACGTGTATTTATTTACCTGATACAAATATATCCATAAATGTAGTGGGGCAAACAGGGGGTAAAGTTGTGCCATCTTCTTAGACATAACCAAATACCCTGAGGAAATGAGTTGCTGAATCTAGGGGATCATGGTCTTGGGGACACCAAGTCCACAAAGGCAATATTCTGCACCCTGCTGTGAATAGAGAATGGGGTCTTAAAAGCTTGTGGGTAGCCATTTAAAGTGTGATTACTGTTTTCTCCCCCTTCTGGAGGAAATCAGAATGCAGACAATAGAAGATGCATGACAACATGTAGTCCAATGGCTGACTGATGGACAGCACTGAGCTTAATCTACAAGAACCCTGACACCAGAATGTGCCGGGCTACCACTAACTGCTCTGAAAAGGATCACATATGGAAGGTGTTGGCATAGTGGGGGGCGGGGGCGTTTAGGGGGGTATGTAACAAAACTCAAAGTCATAAAATTAAAAAACAAACAAAACCCACTGGGCTCACTGGTCAGATAGGGAATGGCGGGACTCCTGAGCCTGTGGCTCTTCATCACTCTCCAGGTCTGCCTCAATTTTCAGTCCAACAGTAGACAGGTCTATTAAAGGGGGGCAGGGGGGATCTCACTGCTATCGAGTCAGTGCCAACTCACAGCAACCCTACTGGAGAAAGCAGAATTGTCCCTTGTAAGGCTGTAGCTCCGTTAAGGGAGCAAAAAGCCCCATCTTTCTCCAGAGGAGTACCTGGTGGCTTCCAAACTGCAGACCTTGCAGTTAGTGGCCTAACTCACAAGGCCTACGCACCCCACTCGGGCTCCAGATGGGTCCAGAAAGGGAACAACAATAGAGGGGTACACACATCTTAGAACAGCGGTTCTCAACCTGGGGGGTTGAACGACCCTTTCACAGGGGTCGTCCGATTCGTAATAGTAGCAAAATTACAGTTATGAAGTAGCAACGGAAATAATTTCATGGTTGGGGGTCACTACAACATGAGGAACTATATTAAAGGGTCTCCACATTAGGAAGGTTGAGAGCCACTGCCTTAGAATAATCAACCAATGAGATTAAAAAAAAAAAAGGCACATGTACCCAAGGGCAAAGTTCACAAGGGTTAGAAAAGGAGAAGGAATGTAAATAAGCAGATAAACAGGAAGAATCGGAACAGTGATGTCAATGGCATGAAACAAAATGTTATGAATTATTGAATGAAAAATTGATCTGCTCTGTAAGCCTTCATCCAATTCATGATAAAAAGTTAAAGAAAAAAATAAGAGCCCTGGAGAAAGAAGAAACTATTAGTGGATGCTAAGCCCAGAATATACTTATAAACCTAAGTACACCCGCTCATACTGTTTCAACCAACATATAATCTGCTGGGTTATGTTGTACCTCCATCAATAGGAGCTAATTACAGAAACAGCAGAAGTAAAACTCTGAATGGACTATGAAGTCACATGATTTACACAGAGCCCTACAATATAGAAGGCACCAGCCATAATTTCAATAATTTAAAAATTCAGTCCCTCTGTTGTACTAGTTGCATTTGAAATGCTTAAAAGCTAGTAGTTTGTACACTGAACAGAATATTGTAGAAAATTCTAGTAGGCCATATGACATAGAACCGTATAGAAAGATGCTGTTAAAACAAAACACTGCATAGTCCTGGTCCTGTAGCATCCTCAAAATTGTTGTTATGCTTAAGCCCACTGTTGCAGTCATTCTGTCAGTCCATCACATTGCGGGTCCTGCACCTTTTTCACTTTTACCCTCTATTTTATCAAACATGATGACTTTCTCCAGGCACTGGTCCCTCATGATTGGGGGACCTGGGGTTTTATTGAGGGAAACAGCAACAATGTCTAATGCTTTATTGAGCATTTAATGCTCGCAACGTTCTATGAGTTAAGTAGTACATGTCCACAGCCCCTTAGCCAAAAAACAAATAGATAGGCTTTTTCAGAATTTCAGAAATGTTTCAGATTTTACGAAGAAAAACAGCCCCCCACAGGGATCTGGAACCTTACTCTGTAATTGGATATTATTATTTCTACAGAGAAATAAGATATTCACATTAGCTAGGATAAACAAAAGATTATAAATAGCCTCATAAATTACAGTCAAATTTTGCTACCAAATGACTCACAGAAACACTGAGTTTTCAGAGCTTTGAATTTGGGGAATTGCTGACCATTTGTGAGACGAGGCGCCTGGCACAGTTCTGAAGGCAGGCGGTCGAGGCATCAGTGCAATGAGCAGCCCCTCGGGCCCTCCTGCCGACAAGTCTGCTCCCAGGGAGGCTCTGGATGAACACTCATGACAGAACCACTCTATTCTTGGAAATGAAGGCACTCTTACCGGAATGCAGAGAGAAATGGAAATCCATGCATCTGAGGCTTGCCAACATCAGGTTGTCCAAAGGCATTGATTGAGATGTTTTATATGGTCATTATGAAAACCACTAATTCTTTAACTGCAAGCCCCACCCCACCCCTCCCCACCCCCAGGTTTTAACCTTCATAGACAAAAAGCTCCCAGTAAGTTCTCTTTTATATAAGAGGCCCTCAAAATGTTTGTGGGAAAATTCCATTTTCTCTTAATTCTATGTTTCCACAAGCTTTTTGAAGCCCCCTTTTATAAGGCTATACTCTTGACCCTTAAGATTCTCAGGACCATGCAGGCTTTGGTGACAGCTCAGCAGTCAAGCATCTATTTCTAACTGCTTTACCAGCAAGCGCTCCTAACATATATCCTGCTGAAAACCATGCCAAGCCGAGACAATGAGAGTATTGTTCTAGAACGTGTTCTGTGTCAGCCTTCCAAATATACAATGAAAGCATTATTGTCCACCCAATAAACCAAGCAACTTGTATTCCAACCCTGCACAGACACTGCCTTACAGGAGCAGTTCTCAAACTTTTTGTTATCAGGGTTATTTTATTTATTTTTAATCATTTTATTAGGGGTTCATACAACTCATCACAATCCATACATACATCAATTGTGTAAAGCACATTTGTACATTCATTGCCCTCATCATTCTCAAAACATTTCCTCTCCACTTAAGCCCCTGGTGTCAGTGCCTCACTTTTCCCCTCCCTCTGGCTCCCCCCTCCCTCATGAACCCTTGATAATTTATAAATTATTATTTTGCCATATCTTGCCCTGTCCGGCGTCTCCCTTCACCCACTTTTCTGTTGTCTGTCGCCCAGGGAGGAGGTTATATGTAGATCCTTGTAATCGGTTCTCCCTTTCCATCCCATCTTCACTCCACCCTCCTGGTATAGCCACTCTCACCACTGGTCCTGAAGGGATCATCTGTCCTGGATTCCCTGTGTTTCCAGTTCCTATCTGTGCCAGTATACATCCTCTGATCTAGCCAGATTTGCAAGGGAGAATTGGGATCATGATAGTGGGTGGGGAGGAAGCATTTAGGAACTAGAGGAAAGTTGTATGTTTCATCGTTGCTACACTGCTCATCTGACTGGCTCATCTCCTCCCCACGACCCTTCTGTAAGAGGGTGTCCAGTTGCGTGCAGATGGGCTTTGGGTCTCCACCCCGCACTTCCCCTCATTCACAAGGATATGATTTTTTGTTCTGATGATGCCTGGTATCAGGATTATTTTAGACACAACACCAAAAATCAAAAATCTTTAGACACTTAACACCAAAAATCTTAAAGCTCTTGAAAATGTTAGAAAAATTTTTTACCAATTCATTTAAACATAATAGAACCATTACATTAAAGGAGTTGTTCTTTCAAAAGAATAGTTAAACAAGGGGGGGGGGACACCCACACCCCAAAAAAAAAAAAAAACAATTGCATTGGGCAGAGCAGAGCTTTTATAGCATTGAGCAACTCATATATGTATAAGAAAGAGCTTTATAGAAAAGAACAATTGTATATTGAGAAAACAACCCAGCCTAGTCTAGATCAAGTCTGTAAGTTTGATATTAGCCCATATGTCCGATACCAATTTATAAATTCCTCTTCAAACTCACACAACACATGCAAGGATGCCAAATGCAGGAAGATGACAGGCCAGTGGGTGGAAAGTCTTGTGGATCCAGTGGCAGTAGAAGCATCTCAGTACTAGCAGGGGTTTCCATGTGGTTCCTCTAGCTCCAGGACTCTAGCATAGCTCCGTGTATTTTCTCAGCCTGAATATCTTGCAGGGAGTAAACGTATGTCCCAGCTTCAGGGAGCTATTTATCTCCTCAGCGCCTCCAAATGAGGTCATCAAGCTGCAACATGATTGACAAGCTAAACTCCACCCTTTCACTCCTAAGTCTCAAATTGACAAAATATTATTTAACAACCACAAACTTGCTCTGAGTTAGTGCACCCAGTGGTGTTGCCTGGTAAGGTTCTTTCTGGTCACAGTGAATTTTTTCATAAAAGCAGTTTCACTCAAACCTCATTTTTTTGTGATGGCTGATTTAGGAGAACAGTGTGTGGCTGGGAAATTTTATATCCTGCTTATGAAAAATGCTGCAGACACTGTTGTGATGTTGAACATGGCTTACAAGGACAGTGCTATGGGAAAAACCTCAAGTGTTAAGAGTAGTTTTCTCCTTTCAAAAAAGGTGAAATGTCAAATGATGACAAACCTTATTCTGGACATCTGTCAACTTCCCGAATGGACAAGAATGTCCACCTGTAGTGTATTTGGAGTTTGTTTGACCAGGTCAGACTGTTAATCAAGCTTTCTATTTAGAGGTCCTGAAAAGATTGTATAATAGTGTGTTGTGGGATATAAAAACAATTTTCCCCACCTTTGTCTCCCCCAAAGATATGCCAAACCTTAGAGGCTGTTTGCCAGCTCATAGTGGGAGGTCAGATGCTTACTGATATTCTCCCTGAAGGCACTCAGCTATCCAGAGCAATCAGACTACTGATTGGTCCTCTGTAGGTGAGGCTCACACCCTATTGATACGATAGTGATTGTTTCCCTGGAAAACTTAGAACAGGTCAAACCTGCTCAGTGATATCCAAAGTTAGGTGCTATCCTGAGTCTAGGATTTGCCCATCTTGTCACATGTGTACCCCCAATCCCTCCCCTTCCTATTTCATGTATACCCTTAGATAGGCCCCCTCTCATTACTGTATTACCTACAGTACAACCCCTTCCTGTGATGTATGTCTTTACCTATAATCAGGGGGCTTGCACACCCCCAGAAAGATATATAAGCCTTGGTTAGAAATAAATCACTCTCTCCTCCCTGCCATTCCCACCTTCCACATTCTCACGTGGACCACCAAGCGGGGCTGAGGTGAGCATGCTACCATGAAATGTGTCTGACTCGTTCATTTTACTTTCTATTCTGTCTCTCATCCTCTCTATGACTTCACTTTAATCTTTACATATTATCACTGTACAATTGCGCCTGCTGGGCCCCTGATGATTTGTTAGGGGCTGGGTCCCCTGACAGTGTGTGACAAAAAAGGCCTGATTTGTGGAAGATAGGGGGCTGGTTTTGCCATTACGACAATGCACCTGCTCACACAGTTATCTCAGTGTGCCAGTTTTGGGCAAAAAACAGCACGCCTCTCTTGCCCACACACCTTACTCACCTGACCTCATTGCATGCAACTTGTTGTTTCCAGAAATGAAGAGGGACATTAAAGGACAGTAATTTGACGATGTAGAAGAGGTGAAGAAAAAAAACGAGGGTGGTGCCATCCTAACAAAAGAGTTTGAAAACTGTTTCCAAGAATGGAATCATAGATTTGGCAAATGCATTAAGTGTAATGGAGTCCTTTGAAGCTAATAAGGTTGGTTTGTAAAACAATTAAAATACATAGCTTTTTTTTGGGGGGTGGTGGTGTCATTTGTTTAGTTTTGTTTGGGGAGTACCACCTCATATTTTCCCAAACAGTATAATAAGGTAAGGGGCACTTTTGGTAAATCCTCTTTGTTTTACATAGATGGGGGCTGGATCCTCATATCTGCCTGTGCTCAATCTGTTGCCACAATTTGCTTTGTTGAAGTCTAGGGGGAAAAATCCAGTCTTACACAGTTGGAAAGGAAAAGAACACTTCAAAAGCCTTTTCAAATATGAAAATGGTACTCTTTGATAGTGGTAGTCATTTCTTAAAGGATAGTGGAATCTGAAACTCTATTCATGAATTTTCTCATTTACTATATTCCAATTTAATTCATTATCTATCTATCCTTATTTCTAATGGATCTTACCCATGAATAACTTTTGACACACATTAGTCATTTGGGAAATACTGGCTCACTGAATTATGCCGTTCTTCCCAGTGCTGTCACATTTCATAAGCACATTTGTATTTTTTTTCATAAGCACATTTTATGCTTTATCTGAAAAACCACACTTATGAATGTAATCTCAGTTTTCCAAAATTCAAATTTTCCTTCAAAAGAGAAAACGTTATTGCTGGCAACAAATATTTTCTATTTGTCTTCTTTAAGACAGGTCCATTTTGTTCACTTCCCTGAATAACTTTAGTGTGTCCACTTTCTTTGAAGTTCAAAGTCTCTAAGAAAAGCAACTGCTCCTCCCCATCGAGTGCACACATCTTTCCCTCAAGGTAACCAGGTGCGCCACATGCAGCCGAGGACCTTGCGGGGCTTTCCATTTTGTCACCAAAAAGTGCGCCATGATGTGAAAGTTAATAAGAAAGGTTCCATAGACATTATTTTTACTGTGTTGTCAAGAAAGTTCTAGGTGAAACTGTCCTTTACAAGAACAACAGAAACTGCCTGGGCCCCGTGGTGAAAACCACAGTGACGGCCATACGCTTTGCTGATTGATTTGGTTACAGTGGCTTTACCCACCAGAGC